TCATTACTGAATTGTCAGTCTATGCAGACGGCATTTTGTCAAGTTATTTGTAGCAAATATAAACCAGTAATCAGATTTCATATTTGTATCAAAAAGTGATTTTACGCAAGGCAGACATTTTTTTCGTCTAAAACTATATGAAACGAATGCTTTCCTGAAATGCATTATCATCCATGATATAGGTAATATGATCGCAAGTCTACTAGGGTACTATGTTTACACAGACCAGCCTGATCTCGCGAGAACGAACCAGATATCAACAAAACTAGATACGATGTCGTTGCGAGCAACGAGTGGGTCTTCCGTCCGATTCTTGATGAGACGAGAAAAGATTTTGATTGAGATTTTCATTCTAAAATAATGATTTTCCATAATCTCTAAAAAGACAATGGAAATTAAAGACTTAAAAAATCGAATTTTGGCCCTTCAGGGCCCCTAATGTTAGGAATCAGCCCTTTTTTCTTCATATCATCTTAAAACTCTCAGGATTTTGATCACTTTTTGTTCTACAACTATTCAGAGATTCTTTTTCTTTTCGAGTTATTTGCATAAGAAATATTCAGGGGTCAGCCCGTCAAACTCCTTAATAGGGACGTTTAGCAAAAATATTGTTCAGAACATGATTTTGAACATCTTTTGTTCAATATTACTTATCAAAATATTTCCCACTTTGAGATATAAAGCGTCAAAGATTTGGCATTGTGGCCCCTTGTGGCCCCTAATTATGTAACACATGACATGAAAATCTTAATATATTGTTGCAGATTGTTGCGATTAACATTTTTGCTTCAGTAACTTACAACCAAATACTGACTGATAAAGAGTTATCGATTGAAGAGTTTTGGTCCATATTGTCCCCTTATCTGAGCGCCCAGCCCCTTTTTCTGGATGTTATCTTATGTTCCTTAAGATTTTAAACACTTTTTTGTTCAACATCTATTCAGAGATGCTTTTTCGTTTTTATGCTATTTGCTAAATTAATATTTAGGGGCCGATCCTTCAACTCCTTAATAGGGACGTTGAGCGAAAAATGAAAGGTTGCATATTGTTTAGAACATGATTTTGAACATCTTTTGTTCAATATTACTTATTAAAATATTTCCCGCTTTTGAGATATAAAGCGTCAAAGATTTGGCATTGTGCCCTCTTATGACCCCTAATTATGTACCATACGACATAAAAATTATAATATATTGTTGTAGATCGTCGAGATAAACATTTTTGCTTCAGTAATGTATTACAAAATATTAACAAATAAAGAGTTATCGATTGAAGACTTTTGGCCCCTCTTGGCCCCTAATTTGAGTGCCCAGCCCCTTGTTCTTGGTTTAACCTTAAAACTCTTTGAATTTTGAACACTTTTTGTTCAACAACTATTCAGAGATTCGTTTTCGTTTTAGAGCTATTTGCAAAAGAAATATTTAGGGGCCAACCCTTCAACTCCTTAATGGGGACGATTAACGAAAAATGAAAGGTTGTTTTTGAAAATATTATTTTGAACATCTTTTGTTCAATATTGCTTATCGAAATATTTCTCACTTTCGAGATATAAAGCGTCAAAGATTTAGCATTTTTGCCCTTTATGACCCCTGATTGTGTACCATACGATATAAAAATCATAATATATAGTTGTAGATCGTCGAGATAAACATCTTTGCTTCAGTAATGTATTACAAAATATTAGCTAATAAAGAGTTATCGATTGAAGACTTTTGGCCCCTCTTGGCCCCTAATTTGAGTACCCAGCCCCTTGTTCTTAATTTTACCTTAAAGCTCTTAAGATTAAGAACACTTTTTGTTCAACAACTATTCATAGATTCTGCTTTGTTTTATAGTTATTTGCAAAAGAAATATTTAGGGGCCAACCCTTCAACTCCCTAATTGGGACGATTAGCGAAAAATTAAAGGTTGCATATTGTTCAGCACATTATTTTGAACATCTTTTGTTCAACATTACTCATCAAAATCTTTTTCACTTTCGAGATATTAATTAATATTATAATTAATACATGTATTTAGGGGCCAACCCTGTAGTTGTAAATGGTTGAGATAAACATCTTTGTTTCAATAATGTATTACAAAATATTAATTGAAAAAGAGTTGTCGATTGAAGACTTTTGGCCCCTCTCAGCCCTTAATGTCATGACTCAGCACTTTTTTCTTGCCATCATATTAAAGATCTTGTCATTTTGCACAAATGTTGTTCAGTATGTTTTGTCAAAATAATTTTACTTTAAAAGATATGATGCAAAATGTCTCAAAAAATCAGTCATGATTAGTGTCCTAAATTTTGACCCCTACCGAGCTTCCATACTAGGCACTTCCAGAAAATATCCTAACCCAGGTGCAACATGGCAACATGTCCTCTATCATCCTTGAAAATTTCAGCTTTCTAGCTCAAACCGTTTATGAGATCCGTAGCCGACAAAGAGACCCTCTAAAATTCACCTAAAGGGCGACAACTTTCGACCGGAATTGAACTTTGAGGATTTGAACAAAAAAGGATCATCTTCTGATCAGAACACATTATCACCGAAAATTTCGTGAAAATCGATCAAACCGTTTACGAGAAATCGTCTGCACAAAAATTGTAAAGAAAAAGTGGAATAATAAAAATAAAAGTGAAAAAGAAACAATACAATAATAGAAGGGTCTTCCGTTGGAGACGGAAGACCCTAATAAAAGTGAAAAAGAAACAATAGAATAATAGAAGGGTCTTCCGCTGAAGACGGAAGACCCTAATAATAAAACCGTCAGAATTCGGACCCTGTCGAATTTAGGACTTTCGACCATATTTGTTTTTTTAGTATCAAAATCCTTAAGTTGCACGCATTTTATGTATTTATCGTCCGTATATTAATGTTATTTATTTGTAAGTTCATTTTTCTATGTTTAAAAATAACACTGTACAAGGGTTGTCCGGTAAATTCGTAAACAAAGCGTTTTCTCGAAAAATAATGAGCACACGAAGCTGAAATTTCAGAACTACTTATTTATCGTACCAGTGGTATTTAAGTGCATCTCTTAGCTATAGATAACATAAATTGAAATACATTGAGTTTTTTTTCTGTTTGTTTGTCTTAATGAAATAAACAGTATTGTCTTTCCAAAGTTTATTACATTTGCATACTAAACTGTACTACATGTATTGCTATGAATATAGTTTTCAATATTTATTCTGTCTTCGAACGTAGTAGTCAGGGGTTTCTTTTGATACGTTCTATACGTTCAAGAATTCTGTTATACACTCTACAGAATCTGGCTTTAAGTTGAATCCTTTCAAATGCCCGTAACCAAATAGTTTGTTCAGCAGAATCTATCAGCAATATAACTAGTAAAAGATGGACTGTTCTATGGAATAAGGCCGACCAACTGTAATCAAAAAAGTACGTCTTCAACCCCTCGTAGAAACTGAAAGGAAAGTTCAAGAGGATCCTACCGATACCCAATGGCATGTAACAAATAGCCAACAAGAAAACATTGATGTAACCATCAATTGTCGCCCGGGAAATATACAAAGTAAACAATGAAAATGAGTCTTGATCATCAAACCGCTTCGATATGTGTGAAAAGGCATGCGTCTAATTGATGGAGACGATAGTCGCGAATATTTTGAAAACTTGTAGTCGGTTAAAAATCAATCAAAACGATACCATTTTAAACTTGATCAATTCCTCAAGTAAATGTTGGCTGCATAACATATAAATTGAAGTTAGACACACGCATCACCTATATTTAAAAATGTATTAATTTTCAATTTTTGAATATAAAACACGAACTTGCAGAGTACGTTTTTATCCGAGAAGTAAAATTCGATGTTCTAAAAAAGGGACCTGTCGTTTTTCTGATAGTAAATGATAAGCAACTTTATATATTAAATATGAAAAGCGTATATATTTTTATAGATTCACTTTATGGAAGTAAATATATTATGTATCTCGTAATTTATAAACGGAAAGAACATTCTGATTAACAATCTTTTCAATGTTTAGAAAACTTTTGATTCTAAATAACTACTCCCATCCCAATCCCCATACACCAACACTTAAACTTATATGTATAGAGCAGCCCGGTCCTCCGGGCTGCAATAAAATGTCATATAGTTCAAAGATCACAATCTCAACAATTAACCTGTAAATACTTTTCAGTGGCATAAAGATGGTATTCAAAACAATGTACAAGATTTCCCATATGATAAGAAGTATATCACGGTATGGAGGGTACACCACGGATCTCAAGAATCCTGCTGGACTCGGGATGTCGACGAGGATGAAGACAAGGATGAGGATAAACACATGCATTTTGCTTCTCTCAGCGTAGTTCGGTGCGTCTGTTGTATTTTCTGTGAAGAGGTTTACATATAATTTTATTAAAGATACAAGACACCTTTGAAGTGTAATTAGTTAATTTTATGACAATTAATTATTAAATGCATTTATCAGAAAGACCTTCCAGTCAATTAATACAATTCTTTACCAAAAGAAGAAGGGGAATTTTTATAGGGTTATAGTAAAAGCCATATACACCATCATCATATTAACTAAAGGAAATTTCATACATTTCAGGATGCACAAAAGGTCTTCAAATGCTATTACCCCAAACTCTCTTAACCTAATTTTAATTGAATTATTATGTATTTATTAACGTCTCTCTCTAAATTTTTTCGCTTGTATGGAGAGCTGCATTTTTCTGTCCCACATTTATACTCGGCACTTAGGACCATTGAGCAGGGAGGGATCTTTTTTTTATGCCAGCACCTACTGTGTTACGGGATCTCGATTTATACGGTTTCATTTGAAGGACTATACGTCACACAGTGGGATCACAATCTTTCCTTAGTTTTTAAGTGAAGGACTTATCATCATTACAAAATAAAATCTATAAAAGAATAAATACATTACATGATATGGAGATTCAGCTTTGAATATCTGTCACTAATATCTATATTTCCTTAAAGATACTTATTCGTAAGAATGGGAGGTTCATTATTTGTATTGAAAAGCTTTTACATGTAATTAAGTATAACGAATTCAAATCTGATTTAAAAAATATTTCCCAGAAAAAATGACAAGAACTTAGTCCTATACCTCCTACTAAATGATCTTTAATGACCATTTAAATCTCTAAAAATAGACTATCTGTAGTTTAATTAATGGTAATGTCCCTTTGTTTACTAAAGAAATCTGTAAGTGGTCATAGTGATATATTGCATATTTGATGAACACAGGCTAAACCAGGTGCTTGCAAAACAGAACAGTATTTGATTCATAAGTAATAGAATAAAATCATAACCAACAAGTATTTTTTGAATTCTAAAGAAGTGAGTAACTGTGTTTTCTCTTTCTTAGCAAAAACATATTAAAATTGTTGAAAATTTGGAGAAAAGCCTTTTGTGTATCCTTAAAATATTATACGATAATTTAAAAAAAATATATTTTTTTTAAATGAATAACCCATCGTGGAAGGTTATTCCGATGTTTGGTCTCCGAGGCTTGTATTTTACAATTATTGTAATGTACAATCACAAACAATGGGATAATTCACTAAGAATTGTTAAAAGAATAGGTGAGCATATTAGTATCTTTCTTAACTTCTTTAAATTTTTGTATTAGCATCAAATTTTTAATATTTTACCTGCAGCAGTCGAGGATCCTTGCTGGGCACGATTGTATGATTTTATTTGTTCTCGACAGAACGGACACGTACCATTTCGCCAGGCGGAAATACACCTATAACAAAAGATGTGTCGGCATGGATTGCAGAAGTGAGGATTTTTAATTTGTTCAAAGCAAATAGGACAGGTATCCATTTTACTGTTGAAGGATCTTTGACAAGGCAGTGACTAGTAAGGATGAAAGCTGCGAAAATTTAAAAAAAAAAGCATCGCTTGGAAAAAAAAACCCAGTATTTTCTCTGATAATATCTACCAAATGTCCAAGACAACTTAAAACTGTGCTGTTCTCTTGAAGTTAACTTCTCTATATTTTCATCAAATTGCGGTTACAATATGCTTAAAAAATCTAGACTTCATAAAACATACTCCATGTCGCACAGGAATGTTTATGTGACTAATTTCTTTGGGATCTTTTAAGAAGGCTGGGGGGTCAACAAATTAATCATAAATTAACCACCAGATTTAACTTATTTTTTTACATACGGTATCTTAAGTTGTCAACTATCATTTGGCAAAGAAAAAATTCATATATTTTAGTTTTAAAATTTGACCATTTTTTATATCTTTATATGGAGCTCTTCCTTTAAAGGAGATAAAAAATAGTCTTAAAATGGCTGCCACACCTCAGCCTCGTTAAGAAGAGAAATGTTTTTAACAAATGTTTTATATATTATTATTTATGTAATGCATGGTTTAAACAATATCTATTCACAACACTGAATATATTGGACAACAGGAAAATTGCCTATAAATACCCTCTCTATAGAAGGTCAGATGATCCTCGATCATTCTTAAACGGAAATCTGCCATGAATATCATTTCAAAAAGACACTGTCGATTCTTACCAGTTTTTTAAAAATAATTGTATACCACTGCATGAAATATAAATACACAATATTGAGTTTAAATGACAGTGCTGGTATTGAACAGGCATGGCAAATAGAGCGGATATCTTTTATTTGGTTTTTATAAAGGCTTTTAATAAACTATAAAACTCAAAAGACGCCACCAAGAGCTAGTTGTAAATGATATTTTAACTATTCTAAGGAATCCATTTCGGACATTTAAACCATATATTTCTGTTTTTGATGTAGCGATTGTAATATATCGAAATAAGTTTATTAATGTCTTTGAATTAGTTATGATAACTTTGATTTGTTACATTTTTATATAAACTATGTACTTATTGATAGAATTCATTTGGTAATCGAAGTCAACTTTATCACATTTCAGAACTCATTGAAAAAAAAAAAGACATCAGTGAAATCAAGATTTTGAACTACTTTGTACCAATTCCATCTATATAAACAACTACTCTAACAAATGTTATTCGTCATTACAAATTCCAATATTTATTATCATGGATAAAATTCGTTATAAAAATATTCAACAATTAAACAGGATATTTTCTGAAAGGATTTAAGGAGTTTCCGTAGCATTCATTTTTTCCACCACCCAACAATTACAGTTTTAGTGAATCAAGAAATACAATTGAATTTCAAGCAAATTCTTCCCTAGTTATATGAATTAAGTTGTTTTGTAATTTTTTAAGAATGATTCCCACACGAGAAATATTCACTCACTATGTGCACGTTCAATATATTTTTCTATTTCTGCCTATTATAGCTATTTCACGCTTAGTTTGGACTTTAAATGAGGCGTTGTATTTTCGGCGCTACATGTTTACCGCCTCTGAAATGGCGAATAGATTCTCATTGTGTTAGAAATCAGGAACTTTAAATTGCTGTTGACAATGTATATGATGAGACGACTTAAGCTCCACTTCTGTGAAGGATGAGACAATGTAATTGGTTATTCCATACAATAATTGACATTTGCTCGAATTTCTATTCCATGTTTCTTGTGAATACAGTGAAGAAAGTTGTGTAAATTTCAGTAATGTCGAGAATGTCAAACCTTACTGAAAGTCCAAACTTAGTGTGAAATGGTCCTAGGTATTATTTATAAAAGGTTTAGAATCAGTGATCTCGAATAAAAATATTTTGAATTTTTTAGGTAATTTTTTTTTCACACCTAAAATACTTTACAATATAAATTAAGTAAATGAGATTCATGTGTCAATGGGAAGACTATGGATTAATAGATTCATAAATGTGAGATACATTGTATGTGCTTGTGGTGCTCATATAAATAAAAACATCACTATCAACTCTTAATAAACAAAAATGAATATATTTATTTCATGCATCTCGAGAAAACGCCAAATTTAGTATTCCGGATATATAAATACAGCATCATACATATCTATACAGCATGGGTTTTTTTATTTAGTCCGTAAACTTTAAACTTAAAGATTGAATTAAATATCTTGTGCTGAAATGGAGTGTAGACGTGGCAATATTCTATTAGACAAGAAGTAACTGAAAGAGAATAAGGTAATGAATTACAATACTTTTTAAAGTTGTGTTTAAGTGCCTTGTATTAGATAAAAGGTTATATAATCAACAAAAGAAATAGTTTGTTTTAATATAATGATTTTAAATATTTATATGATATAAGTGCAGTGTATGGATGTTTTTAGATATTGAAGAATGATGTTATATTTTTAGAAATAGTGTATCTTTAACTATGACATATGAACATTTCACTGTAAGTAACTATCGTTTCCTCTTAGATTTATATATTTTCTCACCTTTATCTATTGTGAAATAAAGCGTGGACCTTGGAAACCAAATGTAGGTCTTTAAATCCCCATTGATTAAAAAATGTAGTATCAATTTATAGATATCGATCGATTATAGTGGCAATAAATGCAATGCAGGCATAAAGACATTTTCTTTTAATATTTTATAAATAAACTAGAAACACGATGGAGAAGAAAAGCTACAGATTTTCTAAAGAAGAAAGAAATTTTTGGATCCTGGATGTATTGATCAAATACGTTGCCCCGACGGCAGTAAGGAAACGTTTTGATGTTATTATTCCTCAAGCTGACCTTGCTAGAATTCTCAACAGTAATATCAGTGTCATTCAAAATCTTATTAGTAAAAAGGTCATCAATGTACATCAGCAAGGAATTCTACAAGGTGTTCCGGGTTTTAGTATACCAGCAGCAATTACAGTACCGACTTCGAAGAAGACAGGTTTGAGATTAAACAAAATATGCTTTTAAAATACTTACTCTAATGCAACATATAGGGAGCCTCACCTATATTTTAGAAATGATGCATCCATACGTATGGTCATTATCATAAATATAATATCATGATTTCCAATACTAGATCGTGTTTTAGATTGCTGTAAGTAAATTGATTTTTATTTTCTTATATTATTTCGACAAAAAATTAAACGTGTTACATTTTCAATATCAATACCTTCATCCTGAATAAGGATACCTAATTGTATGTACTTGGACTGTTGGTAAATTCTTAAACTTTTAGTTTATCATCAGGTCCAGTCCAAAGACTATTTCTACCAACGTAGCTATTAATAGCTACCTAGGTATTCAAAGCTACCAAAAGTAGCTATTTTTACCTACTTTATATAATTTCTGCATTTTGCGACCAAAAGACCAAACGGCGCAACATGGTGAATACCATATTTTTTGATACGGTCACACTAATGATGAATAAGACAAAATTTTCGCCAAAAAATGATTACTTCCTGAATCGGCAATTTTACATTAGTTTCTATGCAAAATTGATAATACACGAAGTTTTCATTTTTTTCCCAAATTTTTGTCATATTCATCATCAGTGTGACTGTATCAAGAAATTTTGTTCTCACCATGTTGCGCCGTTCCTGCATTTAGCCACAAAATGCAAGTAAAGCAGAAAGTAGGTAAAAATAGCTACTTTGGGTAGCTTTAAATACCTAGTAGGTAGCTATTAATACCTACGTAGGTAGAAATAGTCTTTGGACTGGACCTGATCATAGCAGAATGCTCTTATGACCTTTTTGATCAAACTATTTTCCTGACTGTCGGTGTTTTTTGTTAGCCTTTGACACTTTTCAATTAACTTCTTCCCAAAATCACGTGGCTCATTTTTAAAAAACTTTATAAAAAACTTTATTATCCCCTTTCACCAAAAAGCTTAAGGTACTTATGCCTAACCCTTTGTTTCGGATGCTCTTTTAGCAACTTCTTCCACCGACTTTGACACTACCTTGATGATATGCCTTCTTCGAAACTTAAAGCTTGTGCAAGAACCTACTACCGGATGGGATAGACTTCCACCTGACAGCGACAACTCCCTAGGAGCAAATTTGACCAGAATCAAGGTGTACAGGAACAAACTATCTCATCCTTCAAAAAGTCGAATTAATGAAAACTCATTTAACAAGATATGGTCTTCCCTAAAAGTGGTAAGATATTTTTTCTCAAGATATATTTATTTATTTAATTCATGCATGTTAATACATTTGATGGAACTACGCTAGCTAGGATACATATGCATCAGGATTCACTTTCGTAGACTATCACTCCACAATAACTGATTATATGTATCATGTGAATTGTTCCTATTTCTTTTTCTAATTTGTTTAAATCTGTATCTGAGAACAGCAGGGCCAAAATGACCCTTGACCGTTTTGTGAGTTCATTGTATATAATTAAACGACGTTTGAAATGTTGTTGATTCTTTAAATACGAAGGGTGTTAGAAAAGTTCGCGGACAAGTTCTACTACTGTGAGCGCACTATTTTTACGAAACCGGTCAAACTTTCCAGATAAAAGCTTAACCTATTTTCCAATAAATATACAAAAATTTGTTGCTCTCCGGTGATCATTGAAAAGTATACAGCTTTTTTTATTTTGATAAAACTTGCTTCAGGGAGCATATGCTACATTTTTTGCAGGTTTACATCACAAAAGACATTTTATTAAAATTAAAAATTGCACAATTGTAGCGCAAAGAGATTTACGATATTTTACCTGTCCCTAAAATATTCATGAAACGTCACTGGGAGAAATTTTAAATTAATTGGAGGGTATATATATGACTGTTTTATAGCCATTTATAAATGATCAACGTGTAAAAAACACAGCTAATAATCGGTACGTCATTGAGCTTCATGGGGCACTGCACTACGTAAAAATTATGTGTGCAGACAGGAAAATGTCTAAAAATAGATTAAGATGTTCAAGATGCTGCTGGGAATTTCCTACACATATAAAGGACAAAGGTTTTCAAATGGTTGTAGCTTTATAAGAATGGAAGGATTAACATTTTGAATGATTAACTTCATCGATTCTTCAATACCCCCTTATCGCATGGACGTTGTGCCTATATGGTTTTGCGCAGTTTCCATACCTGTTCGATTAACTACAAATACTTTTTAAAGATGTCAATAATATCTGAATCAGTACAATCCGAATCAGTACAAAAGACATTATATTAGAAAAGTAACATGTCTCGATATAGATATTCAATTTTAAAGTAGAAAAGAGATAAGAAAAATCTGAAGAAATGAAAGATTTATAGAACTGCGACAGAGCTTAACGGGTTGAAATCTGGATGTCACGTTGCCTTACGTCAAGTGATTGCTCCATGAATCCCATGACACCATAGTAAAATCTTTGTAAATTTTCAAGATTTTGGTTAATGGACTAATAAACAAAATGTAGGAAAGAATGTTTCCACTTAAACATAGTGCCGTGGTCTCTTTTTCGGACCCCTCTAACTTTGTCTAATTAACTCAAATGTTAATTATTTTTCACACGTAACTCATATTTTGTTATCTTTGTGGTATACATGTATTACTTGCAAAAACTCACATTGAAAACAGTGCCTTAGTTTTATAAATGGTAATTAAAAAAGCCATATACTGGGTGTTAATTCCGGAATTTTTCGCTTGTCCGACCTAGGTTTCAATTGTGTCACATAAATATTCTGAGTAGGCGAGGCATTTCATCGATCGATTGAAAACATGTGTAATGAATCAGGGTTATCCCAATCACTGTAACAAGGGATGTTAGGGTTTTTGACTTGGAATGACCTGTCTCCCCTACCATGAAATAGACCAGTCTCTGCTATATATATAGCGGGTGTTGACAGATTCAGTCATTCCATCTTAGAATCCATACAGTGAATGTTAGCTGCGGGAGACGATCTAAGAAGTGGCCAGGTAAGGGTGATAAAGTGACGACGCTGAATAAGCCGAGTCACCATAAGGTTACTTTAGGGCTGAATAAGCCTTATTGTATAGGTTGCGTCAACTGGTTAACCTCAGTAGCTCTGGCATTAGAAATAAAGGCTGAATAAGTCTGTACCCTAGTGCCAAAGTGAACTGGAGACGCCAGTTGACTAGAGACTTTTGGTTTAGTAACCTGGACCCTTGGTTGGGCCAGTTGTCCGGGACATTGGTTAGGGGTGAGACAGGTGGTACCTTGATTTTGTTCTGCGAATCGTAGTAAATATATTGATTAGGTAAATTGTTGAAATAATCGTCGTAATACTGATTAAGTTTGTGTCCTAGTGGACAAAATACAGATCATTTGTTTAAATTGTTACACTGCAGAAATCCCGGGTGTAACCGGGTACATGTACGTGTCCAATTGAATATATAGACCGCTCGGCTGGGCACACGTTACAGAATTTTTGGTGGCAGCGGTGGGATTTCTGCAGTGTTAGGAAGAGGGAGCGTGTGGTTATTTTTAGTTAAATAATAAAACTTTGGGGACATTGTTTTGTTGTTCATAATGTCGGCTGATCAGTTAGATCGGGAACTGACTTTTCTCAAGGAAGAAATCAGAGAACTAGAATCAAATATTCGGCAGCACGAAAGTGTCATACACTCAACACCAAGGTCTCGAGGATATGAGAACCGCGGTAGATACGACTCTGGTATTGCCAGTGGTCCGTCGTCTGTTGTTCCCAGGAGTCCTTTGGCTGATCATTTTCCAGATAGCGAGCCAAATAGACCGAGTTCTATCTGTCCTCCGAGGGTAAGGTTTCCTGAGGAAATTGAGGATAAAAATGATGAAACCAACAGAGAGGGCATGGCGGATAGAGTCGATATTGGTAATGTCACATACAGGCGTCACCGTAGACCAGTCGTCCAAGAGATTGCAACTAAGAAAATGAGTAGAAGGGAAGTCAAAGCTGCAACCTACGATGGCAGTGGATCGTGGTTGGATTATAAGACTCATTTTAACACGGTCAGTAAACTTAATGAGTGGACAGAAGAGGAGGAAGGCTTTTTTCTTGCAGCATCTCTTCGGGGTCAGGCTCAAGGGGTTCTTGGTAACTTGCCAGGTGACAACACTGATTATCATTACCTTGTACAGGCTCTCGAAGAGCGTTTTGCACCTCCTAACCAAACTGAATTATACAGAGTTCAGCCAAGGGAAAGGCGTAAAAGAGCCAGAGAGACCATACTGTCAGAAGATTGGCAAACTTGAATTGGCCTATCCTAAAGCACCATCTGAGGTCAGGGAAACTTTGGCCATGGAACAATTTTTAGATGGCTTGCCTGACTCAGACATGCGAATAAGGATCAAGCAAGCGCGCCCAAAAGATCTAAATGAGGCCATTAAACATGCAGTAGAACTTGAGGCATATCTTAGGGCAGAAGACAAAAGGGGGTACAAAGGTTTTCAACACCAATTGAGGGAAGAGGTAACTACAAATAACGTAACCTTCAATATGGAAATGAAGAACTGGATGTCATCAGTGGAGAAAAATATGGCAGCCATAACCAAGGAAATTAAAGAGCTCAGACAAGGCAGAGGCCAAGAGGATAGAAAGTCTTACAAAGAGTCACCTCTATCCAGAAAAAGCATGGATATGATGGAATGCTATAGTTGTCATAAAAAGGGACATTTTAAGCGAAATTGTCCAGAGAAAAACAAGAAAGATGCACATTATAGCCAGAAGACTTCAGGGGGTACTGATCCCAAAAGGAAAAACAGTGATAAGGGTTTGAATGGACAGCTGACTGACAAACTTGGTTCTTGTTCAAACGAAGCTGGAATGTTCATTTATGCAATGATAAATGGTGTTAAGGGTAAAATGTTTGTAGACACAGGGGCTACGGTTACAATGCTGTCAACAACTTTATGGGACAAGGTGAAAGACCAATTGTGATTTGAAATCCAAGAACCTAGAATGAAAGTTTACACTGCAGATGGTGATAAATTAAAGTTGGAAGGTAGAGTCAATATCGAGATGGCAATTGGAAAATATCCTATAAAGACATTGGCCTTGGTAGCTGATCTTCAGGTAGAAGGGATTCTGGGATTAGACTTGATCAGACGTTTCGATATGATAATAGACGCGAAACGGCACCTTTTGTTACATCAGGATGAAAGTATCCCTTTTGTGTATGAAGGAAAAATTGGATGTTATAGAGTTGTAGCAGAAGAAACGGTCAGCATACCACCCCGGAGTGAACTTATTATACCAGGGAAAATATGTACCTTTGACGAGGAGTATCTACAGACCCAAGGTATTGTAGAACCAAGAGAAAAAGAAGATGCTAATAGGCCATTGACTGCTAGAACTTGTGTTCAACCAATGAAGAATAATATTGTGCCAGTGAGATTGTTGAACGTGGAGGCTGAACCAAAGGTGGTGTACAAGAACACAGAGATAGGAACATTTCAAGAAACTGAACAGGTTACCTTAAACTATGCCGGTGAACCAGCAGATCGGCCCGCTATAGAAAATCTGTATCAAGAATCTGTAAAGCATCTTACAAAGAAACAAGCAAAAGAAGTGAAATCTTTTCTATGGAAGTACAAATCGCTGTTTGCAAAAAGTAACAATGATCTTGGAAAAACCAATATTGTCAAACACAGGATAGACACGGGAGACGCAAGACCTATAAAACAACCCGTTCGCCGTTCTCCTGCACACTTGTCAATAGAAATTGAAAGGAATATTGATGAGATACTAGAGTGCAATATTATAGAACCTTCGACAAATCCATGGGCCTCCCCGATTGTACTACTGAAAAAGAAGGATAATACTTTCCGATTCTGTGTCGACTACAGACGTCTTAATGCTTGTACAGTTAAAGATGCCTATCCCCTGCCGAGGATTGATGAATCCTTAGAACAATTGTCCGGATACTATGGAATCCGGATAGGGCCACGCAGTTCACTATCGCATCATCGCATCATCGAGATTTGAGTCGATGGTACGATGTCGCGATAATGCAATGACGATGGCGCGATGGTGCGATAACGATAAAGCGATGACGCGATAGCGCGATGACGATGATGCGATGGTGCGATAGCGCGACGACGATGATGCGATAGTACGATGAAGCGATAATGCGATGACGCGATGGCACGATAGCGATTCTGCGATGGTGTGATAGCGATGATGCGATGGCGCGATAGTGATGATGCGATGCTATAT